GCACAAGTACATCGCATGGCCCTCTGGACCAGAAATTCTTAAAAAAAAGATAAGTGTTAAGCCAGGAGGTAGCAGGGCAAATTCCCTTCTGCTATCTTCTCTGTATTAAGTGTTGCTGTGCAGATCTGTACTGGAGTAATTGCTCAGTGAGCAACAATCAGTGGCTTCAGAATAGCATAGAGGTAGGGTCAGTGCTTCCTGTTGCCGTGAGTGGTGACTGTTTTCCTTCTCATTGCACAGCTCTGTGACTTTGTCCTACCCAGTCCATGTCTCATGGCCTCTCTTTTTCTGCAGAGCTTACCTATCTATCCAGATGGTGGTGGGAACAAAAGCCTCTTAAGGTTAAGCGGAAAGTACTTTTAACAAGGCAATGTGGGGCTATATGGGAAATGGATGATAAGGAAGTGTCCATTTTCAACCATACCATCGCGAATCATAGCAAAGAAACAAGAACTGAGCTTTACTGTTGCAAATTTGAGGCTGCTTTGCACCCTGGAATACAAGCAGGGGAAACAAAAAACTAAGGTTTAGACTGCACTGTAGTTAGGTATTGCTAGTACCTGGTTTCAGTTGTTAGAAAGGATCTGGGATATGGTGAAGAGTTTCATCACTGGATGTTTAGACCCTCCCCCATTATACTTACTGATCAGCCTGCACAAAACCTTTTTATAAGCCTGTTTGTTAAACTAAAATACCTCAGACAGATTAATCCATCTGCTTTGGCCACTCTGCCGCTCTGTTCTGTAAGGGTGGATGAGAAGACTCCTGCACAGAGGGAGTGAGTGTAAATCAAATTCAGAATTCTAAGGGCTTTGTTTATTCACTTTCGAAAGGTTTATATTTTGGCTTGAACACTTAACAAGTGTTCTTACAATACCTGGGAGTTTGAGCTGGAGATGGCATTAAAGTGGGAGGAAGAATGTGGATGGATTAGAGAACATGTTATCTGGGCTTGGCATTTCAGAAGAAGGTCCTTGTTGAGTTCAGAAAAATATCTGGCTGTGGTTTTAGTCCCATATCTTGTAGCGTGTATATAAATCCATTTTTCTTCTAATGCTGCTAGTTTGTCTTCCCTCCCATCACTACATAGAAAGGGGATTATGAAAACTGTAATGGAGAAACTCTTTCAAGATGTAGTTGACAGAACCTTCTGTGTTTTTGTATGAATGTGGCTGACTTTTTACTCCATAGACTGCCTCCAACCAAAAAATCTAGAGGATTTTTAACCAGAGAAAAAACAGCTTCCCGGGAATATAAGGCTCGGCAACCAGAGACTTCCACAATACTAATTTCTAGTATTAATATTGGGAGGTGGAAATGAGATCATAAATGAACCTTGCATTTTCTTCATTTGTTTATTCCAATGCATCTTTTAATTTGTAAAGAAATAAAAATATATTAAGATGTATTTTATGTCATTGCTAGTAAATAAACACTGCTTATTTTTCCAAACACTGTATTTTGCGGGAGGGAGGAAATGGGAAGGGCTGGAGCCTAGCTTGAGTGATCCTTTACAATCCAGTCTTCTACTGATTAAGTTCAGTCTTTTTTCTTAGTGAGAGGTGGTAAGAAATTCAATAAGTGTCAACAGACAAAAGGTGCTGTTTAGTCTCAGTGTTAATTTTGTTTAGCTAAGCGTTTTTAACTTCCTGCCCCAGCTGAACTTTGATTTTGCGAAGAGCTTTTCCCTTTTCTTTAACACAGCTTGGGTCAAATTGACTGCTTTTTTGTCTGCTTTGAAAAGCGTTCTAGTTATCTTGAGGCAATGTTAAATCTAGACTAAAGAGACTTTTGCAGTTTTAATTTTTCAGAGAAATAGAATACTATTTCAGAGTTAAAGTGGCAGGGAAAGGTGTTTTGTTTTTTCCCCTCTCTGTCTTTTGCTAACTGCGAAATTAAAGTTCAGAATGAACGTGGCTATCGGCAGTGTAACTCGGCCAGTCTAGGTTAAAATCATAATTTGTCTTGCACTTAAATCCCGTTATTTACTTAACTGTAGCTTAGAAGATTGCTGTTGTACGATTTACTGATAACCTTTACAATGGTCTGTATGAAAGCACAAGACAATCATTGCTAAATATCCAACAATATTTAGTTTGCTATGGAATATTTTTGAGATGAATCTCTTCTACAGAATGTTCCTATGTTATGTCCAAAATCCACTACTGAACTGATACATTGCGATAATGATGGGCCTTGTGCATCTTGTATGTTAATCGTGTGGAGTAAATTGTGCTTGCAGGAATTTCTGTGGTAGTGCCCCTTTCCGTGTGTGTGGGAATTGCCTTGCCCAGCTGGTGCGTGTCAGTGTTGTGCTGGGATTTGGGGATCTGTTGAGTGAGTGGAGTGACACGTGGGTACCTTCAACATCTGTACTGTGCTCCACATCGTGACCGAGCGGTGGCTTGGGCTTTCCTTCTTGAAGGAATGGAAAAAAAAAAAAAAAAAAAAAGCCTCTGCTATTTTAACCTGTTCCTTATACGGATAGAGAGCACTTTGCTTGTGGCCATGTTACTTCATGTATTATGAAGCAGTGGAAGTATTGTGGGATTAAATTATCCCTCAAGGGCATGAATTTGAAGTTCGTAGCAATTCCGTAACTGAGTGGTAATTCTTCTGTTAGAGTTGTGCAATGAAACGCCAACTCGCTTTGCAGACATCCGTCCCATTTACAGAATGCTTCAACAGCCGAGGAGTTGCTGCAAGCTGGCACAGAAAAGCAGCTCCGGTGGGAACTTTAACCCTACATGTAGATCTACAAAAACCAAAGCTGAGCTACTAAGAGATGTTTTCTGTTCCCTCTTGTTGTGGACTTTGGCAGGGGATACGCTTGGTGTGTTTTCGTGCCCTATCTAGAATGCTTGCTTGGAAGGGGAACAGTGTATCTGCAAATGTATTTGCTTTTGGTATGCGACACCTCAGTGAAATAATTTGCTTTTGTTAGCTTTTGGCAGTCCTGTTGCAGGTTAATTGGCTGTATTGGCTTCGCAGGTGAATGTGTGCGTGTCAGGGGCAGGGAGAAGACTGAAACCAGTTTTAAGCCTGCGCAACTAGTGGAAGTGCAGTTTTTGTCTTAACAAATCCCTGCTATGTTCGCTGCCGCTATCAGTTGCTTTTAATCTAGGCTGAGGTTAAGAAGTGCTGTTTGCTCTTCCGTCTCAGCACGGGAGAAAAAGGCAGTGTCTTTACTGCACCAGCGCCGGCAATGCTCTTTTCCATGTATTTTGTTCTCCTCTGAAGTCTTCCGTCCGCGGCAAGCCAGCGAG